GCATAAAATAGCTGACGACAGCTGGATATCCCTTAGCTTCGGCCGTTAAGACCAAGCCCAATATTATCAGCATCAGCCAGGGAGGAAGAAAACAGCAAGAAATGGATCAGACCTGGATTTCATCTTTGATTTTCCTGTTAGGTTTAAAAAGTTTCTCCATTTTCACTAAGATACAGAGCAGTGATGCTCAACCTTTGTTTCCCCAGAAGCAACGTTACAAAGTAACAAACCAAATAAACATGATGCACTGTTACTTTCACTGGCATTACCTGCAACCTTTTTTTTTCCCCCCCATGTCCAAAAATCGGCAGCAGAGGGCCTCTGCGGGCAACATATTACCCATTAACTTGGGAACCACTGGAAGCCAAACACTGAGCTGCAGCCATAGTCATCTTTTGCTGTGGCAGCTATAGTAGGCTATATCATCTCTAAAGAATTATAATCAGATTCCATATATGCCTGGTTTTCCACACATTGGCACATTTGTGCTTCCAGAGATGCTGGATCAGGCCCATAGCATAGTGAGTTAAAACAAGAAGGTAAGTAAAACGTAGATATTATTTAACTTACAATAAGAGATTTAGACATGGAGATGTCCAAGCGGCTACTTCCTGGATTAAGAAATGTCTAATTCGGTAAAGTTAAGCACATAAGTAGTCCCAATGAAATCAGCATATCTGCACTTCTGAAGCACATTATGAGCTGAGAACCTTAAAAACACAGCAGCCTCCTCTGTACTGTTACACGAGTGATTTCACTACAAGGCATGAAGCTTCAGCATAAACAGGAAACAAACCTTTTCTTCGGGAGAGCACTGCGTTTTGGTTGTACCAGCCCCCAGCTTTAGTTTTGGCATTTCTGTTAGGAGCTTGAAGACTCTGTTGGTTGTACATGCTGCTGGATTTTGCTGAATGCTCACTTTATATAGAGGAAAAACGACAGTAGTTTTCCACAACAGCAGAAACGTATGCTGTATCACACAGGCTAACACAACAGACAGCACTGAAAAGTCTCACTGGTAAGCTCACCAAAACACTGACCGCTGTCACTGTCCTCTTCTGCTTAGCCAGTGACCTAGGAAGACAGTAGCTATCACTTCTGATTTTCAGCTGTTATCTCCCTTTCCATTCATTTTTAACAGTCTGAAGAACAAGTGGAAATGACCTCACCTCATGATGTTGCCACGTTCATTCCTAGGAGGAGATCCAAGAAAATAAGTCTCTTAAAAAAACTTAAGATGATTATAGAGGTTAGCAGGATCTGCTGGAGGGACTTCAATGATAGTTCAAAACAGCAGTATGATTAACTTGTCATAGTCTCTTTAAAATAACCATTCTTAGTGGGCCAACTTTTTTTTTTTTTTTTTTAAGTAGCACACGCAGTTCTGCGTTCTAGCAACTGGTGACAGATCACAGTATACTGCATACAACTTCGGTATACAACTCCAGGTATACTATTACCAGAATAATATCTATATCCTATTATCAGAATGATCACAGGCTGATATTACACAGTATCTGGTGTTGTGACCTGCATCTCCTACCCCTTGCTGAGACGCTGAGCAGTGCTATCTGCATGGTCTCCCCAGTTCTGGAAGAGGGGCGGAGGCAAGCCTTGCTCTCATAGCACGATGCTGGAGCAGAGCAGAACTGCTGAGCACGAGTTCAGTGCGAGTCCCATTTTTATTGCAGTCAGCTGAACTCACTGCAAACACGTTCCAAGTCAGCTTAAAAAGTATTATATAATATGAAAAAGTGCTTAACAAAACAGTGATAAGTAAAGCAAATTGCAAAATATGCCTTGCTTAAGCACACTGCTTTAATGTGTCTTACTCAGTGCACTGGAATGAGTCCTCAATATCCATGCTTAAAAAGTAAAATATGGTTTCATTTGTAGGTGGCATCAATTGAACAGAAAGCACTTTCCATGAGCCTGCAAAGGGAGAGAGGATTCTAAATAAATATAAAAAAATACAATTACCACTAAAATACTCTTATAGTCATTTACTAAAAAATGTATTAAAAAGATGAGGAGTACTAGAACTGCAAAGTGCTAAAGTAAATTATGGCTCAAGCTTTTCTAGGAAATATAAAATAGACGGGACTTCCATTCACATTAAAATAAGGTTTTTTGTCAGAACGAACAATAAAGTCTCCCCTCTCTTTCTTCTTGTTAACTTGAAAAGCAAGGATAGAACACCAAAGCTTTGGTTTCAGCAGAGGAAAGTAGCAACTAGTTAAGTAAAGTCATTCAGAGGAAAGGAAGTCACCAAAAAACCCAAACCAATGAGCCAACCAGTGGAAAGAGATCCTAGAGCATGTCATTCTTGTGTGAAACAATTCATCACTATCCTGTTTAAGCTTTTAGATTCACATGCAGGAACAGAGAAGAAAAAACAGTTGCCTTCATGAATCCTTATTTTCAGCAGAATCAGAGGTTATTGCTCAGTTCTACACCTTGCAACAGAACGGAGCGTGCATATCTCACTAATACTGAAGGAGTGCCATGGTACAAGGCACAGAAATGTGACCCAGACTACTAACTCTGTATTGTGCTGAGCAGCCACACAGGCACACCTCTTGTTTGGCATTAGCTGAGGGACCTCTAACGCGATGCTACTTCATTTGGTATAGAGCTGTATGGACTACAGTAAGCTCAAGCTCCCGCAGCCAGTTCTTCCAGTATTAAAGCAGGAGCTGTTCGGCACTTCTCAGCAACAAATGAAGGGAAACATGTTCCTATAAAGCCTCTTTGAACCCTATAAGCACACCGTTAAGAACTTGGTACTGTCACAGGGTTGAAACCTTAAGCACAAAGAAACCAATTATATGACCAAGAGGACATGTTGTTGACCTGTCTAGCAGCCTGCTGCACTGTTTGCACATCGGTACACAAAATACTCCCCACTTTAAGAACTGAGCTTATATGAGCACTAAAAAGTAGGTATGAAAGCTCGTATGAGTACACAGGCTTTCAAAAGAGGTCTCCGTCATTCTAAAAGACCGCCAAATACCACAATATAGTCACTAAGAGCCAAGGAGTTGTAAGTACCAAACATTCTACAAAGTAGCTGTGGCAGCTTTTGCGTTCAGGCAATCTTTTCCTGGTTTTCTATGTAGATGGAAAACATACAGTACTAGAAGGGAAAAAAGAGTGAAGCCCAAAAACGCTGCATAAAACCAATCTGAAGGTCTAAACTGAATATTAACCTCTACCAAATTCAATTTGGGATGAAACAAGTATGAAACAAAACACGAGAATCACTTTGGGATTTGATACTTTTGACATAAATGTAAAAAGTGAAAGCATGACAATATTATTGCTTATTATACACAGATGGCTTTCCATATCCATACTCAGAGCATGTACCTAAGAGAGGTAATTGCCTGTTTTGCCCGTTTTTTATTTAATAATTCAGTCGTTTGAGTTACCCTTGTGCTTTTTCAAAAGGAAGACCAGCTACTCTTAAGAAGGGGCAGATATTTTTTGTGATTTTTTGTTTTTTGATACAGACAGAAGTTAGTAACCTAATTCCTAATTACAGATCTGATCCTAATACTGATGCAGCAGGAGGATGAGAGCCGAGTTTTAATTTAGAAATTAAACAATTAAAATGCACCTTTCAAGTTAAAGGTGGCAGGGGAAAAAAGCAAGCAGTTCATAGGAGCTAAGAAAGCCAGACTTTTAATGATAAAAAGGTTTAAAAAGGATTCAGCGGGGTTTCACAGAATATTTGAAATGATGAAATCGAACAAAATGTGTGAAGTGATAGCGGAAGAGAGAACGATCACCTTCTCTGTAATATAATGAAGAAGGTAGAGGAAAACCGCAGCTGGTTTTCGGAAGGGCGTTAGCCTATTTTTTTTTATTTAATCCACTGAGTAATTCTACTGCTGACGGGGGAAAAGAAATAACAAATTTTAGTTTAAACATAAATAAATTCTTATTTGTAAGCTAACAAAGTTTAACAAAGACAAGTTATAGCTGCATGTTTTATAATGTCTCAAACAAACCTTTTCTAGCTGTCTTCCTTAAACTTAACTATTGTATTTCCTGAAAAACAAAAGTACAGGTGGCAAACATAGCATCTTCTATTGTTACAATGGCGCTAACAGGTTTACTTTGTACTTCACTGATGTGACAAATGTGTGCCAGATCCCTGTCTCCAGCCTGATGATTTGGAAGGCAAAATTAACATGATTTAAAAATGAGGAAGTGTAAGTAAAAGGCTCAAAAATAATTGTTTCTCCTGATCACTTGAGTAGCTGTGTGTCAATATTCCAGAAGTTTGTTAAGGTCCTTTCTAAAAAAGTCGATAACTCTTTTTTGCAATGTTTATCTTCCAGATAACAGTGCAAAGTGCAGATGTTGGGTGGAATTACTTTAGAGAGAAAGATGCCTTCATATCCTCTATGTCCATATGAACAGGCACCTTAGCAACTGCTTCTCTGCTCAAGGTTTATTAAATATTTTTTGATAGCTTCCAACTTTTCACTATCAAGATAATCATCTTTTACACAGACTATATTCAGAGTATACAGAAACAGCTCTTCTTCCAGCATGAGAGAGGGGGCAAAAACCCACTGTTGTAAACGAAGATTTCTGAATCGCTAGAAAACGAAATTTAAGAACACTGTCCACAAAACGAGACAGAAAAAAAGTTTGGCGGAAAACTGTATTTTACTTTTAGTTGGAATATCTAAGCCCAGGGTTTCTCAAAACTTGAGTTGCTTGAGTTTTCAAGGACACTGGAGAACTCAAAATTGTGTCTCAAATGACTGTTCCCTAACTAGTTTATACAGTTACTGAGCTACTACCAGCATTTAAAGACAGTTAATTATTTATACTAACAAGGAAATAATTTCAATCATTAATTACAGCTGTTTCACACTCCTCCCTAAGGGCACAGAGCAGTTGTCTCCCCTCTGAGGAAAAAAAATAGAAGACAGACATTTATAAGAAATGACTAAAACTGGTTATGGAATAAAGACAGATAAACACAAGATCAGCTTATTTTATTTTAGAATTTTTGATTAATGAAAATTGAGAAGTCACTTCTTTCCAATTCAGAAAAGCAAGCCAACATCGCCTGCAGATCCTGAATTTCATTCAGTTCCACCAAATACCATTCTATTCATTCCACAGGTAACTGTCTAATGCCACAGAGGATCCAGGTTGCCAGTTTCCAATTCAATATCCATCATGATTACAACTTTCATATTTTGAAGTCTCTCAGGCTTTTTGCAACAACAGGAGACAAAACAAAACAGCTTTCCGACACAGCAGTCCGGAGCAAATCCTGATGGTGTGCCTCACGCACTTAAAAAAAAAAAAAAAAAAAAGTCCTTTAATCCATTAAATTATGGGTTTTTTTCCCTCCAGTATGGTTTATAGTAGTTCTGGCTCCTACCACTCGACTGAGCTTTGCCCTCGTGATTGTTCTGTCTTCACATAACTGTCATACAGTTCTCTCAAATGAAACAACAATTCCTCTAGGTTGCTTCCCGTCAGTGCAGACAATGCAATGACCCGGTCATCTATTTGTTCTTTAAGGAGTTGCAAATTAATCCTGGACTGAGCAAGGTCAATCTTATTGCCAATAACAACACAAGGCCTCTTGGACAATCCTTTTTTATATTGTTCCAGTTCATGTTTTAAGTCTTGTAGCTGAATCCACGGCTGAGACACAGAGAGATCCACCACATATAAGAGAAAACGGCAGCGTTCAATATGCCGTAGGAAGGCCATCCCGAGGCCCCTGTTTTGATGAGCACCTCTTATTAGGCCAGGAATATCAGCAACTACAGTGAGAGAAATTTTAAAGTGATTCCAACACATTTAACGAAAAAAAAAATCTTCTGCTGTCCTGTACAAGTACTTTTAGAATTACATCTCAATGCATCAGGATACTAATAAAGTACACTAGACATAAGATACTAAGTTATGTATCCTTTATAACCCCCAAATTTAGATTATTTCAATGGAGGCAGAATATAGATTGCTAGTTCACTATTAAGGGCACGTACAAGTGAATGTGAAATGCATTTTAAATACTGCTTTGCTACATTAAGTTTGAAATTCTTTAGAACTACCAAGAAATCTACAGATCTGCTTGATTTTTTATCTCCGCAGGGTTTCAAAGAATTAGCCAAATGGCATAAGCTGCTATTAAGGTGTAAACAAAATACTGTAATTCTTACCTGCTACTTGCTCATAGTCTTGATAGTGAACAATGCCAACATGGGGATTTAGGGTCGTGAATGGGTAGGCAGCCACTGCTGGCTTTGCATTGGAGATTGCTCTCAAAAGTGATGATTTCCCGGTATTAGGAAAACCCACCTAGAATACAAACATTTACTAAAGTCACAGTTCCAGATCAATGCCAATAAAAACAGTAGTGTCACTTTAACTTTTTTGTGTGTAACACCTAAGTGCTTATTTCGGTCAGAGTCGAAATGGTATACCATAAGATCTTTTACTCTGAAATGACACCATGATGTCTTGCTCCAGACTTCACATTTTATTTCTCTTTACTAAATTACAGGTGATTTATTATTTTCCCAAAGAATCCAGAATTACCTTTGTCCTTCACTGATTCAGTAACGTTATTTGGCCTATACCTAACCAGAACACCTGCAGATTTGGGATTTTACAGCACTCTCAGTTAAATTCTTCTGCATCAAAACTATGAAACTTGGGGAAGACGACGAGAATTTAAACAAATCAATCCTAGAAAGTAAGTTACTCTAGGATAACCTGTGGCTGATGTCTGACAGATAGAGAGGATCAATAATACCTAGATGAGAGTAGATTAAATTTTCCTGTCTGCTGGTATCAGACACTCCAAATTCTTGTCAGAGTACAGAGCTCTGAATCAACTCAAATTTCCAAATTGTCAAAAATGTAAGAACTGGACCAGAATGTCCATCTTGACATAGAATTAAGCGTACTGATCCACTGATGCTAGCTCATTTCTTAGTCTCTAAAGAAATCTGCAAAGTTCTCCTGCACCAAACAGTTATTGTACAGTTGATGCACTACGGCAAGAACACTTCACAGCACTGCATAGTTGTAACAGCTGGGGTCAAAATATTTCCATATTTAAAAATGAAACCAGATTAAGAACTAAACTGACTTCATTTTAGAGGATGCAAAACCCGGAACTAGGAAAGTCAAACGTTTAATATTTGTAAAAAAAAGAAATACAAGGATGAGATAGAAATGACTTGACCTTTATCAAGATTAAAAAAAAAAAAACAAACAAATGCCGACTAGTTTAGAAGTAAAAACTCTCCAGACTGTACTGTCCACCTGCAGACAACCTCTGCTGTACATCATCAGCAAGTCTACTAATCAGTGATGAATCTTGTGCATTGGTTTCCTATAGCTGCCGTTCATTTTAGCAAAAGTAGGATGACATCAAGTAGCAAAAGAATGACAGCTCTGCAAATGACTTTGGACATCCTTTTACCAAATAGCAGCAAGAAAACATGGAGTTGCATCTCTAAACAAGCAAGCCAAAAGGGTAGCAAAATGTATAAATGTATAAAACGTTATTTCTTCCATCAGTCAAGCGTCATCCTGCAAAGATAAAGAAGTTGAAGAACCACAGCAATACTCACCAATCCTGCATGAGCTGTTGTCTTGAGTTCCAAGTGGAGGACTCTTTCCTGACCTGGCTCTCCTGGAGTAAATAATGTTGGCGCTCGGTTGTCATTGGAAAGAAAAAAGCGATTACCTTTTCCTCCAGCTCCCCCATAAGCTGCAACATACTCTTCACCATGCCGAGTAAGGTCAGCCACAATTGTCCCATCCTCCTTAACCAATGTACCTACTGGGACCTTAAAATAAAAAGAGGTACAAACAATACATTGAAGTTCAAAGACTGCAGCAGAACTGCCTCATCAGATCCTTTGCCAGCTGATTTCAGATTCATTGAAAATCATTCCTTTCTATTCTCAAGTGAGGATCCGAAAGAATCCAAAAGGAGAAGTGTACTTCATGAGGCTCCCGTTCTAGATCCAAACAGCGCTGTCAGACACCTACACTTCAATACATCTTTAACAGTAGCATAACCTGCTTTCTGGCTTTTTAACCACAGAAGCCTAACTACCGTTGTGAGCTTAGAAACATGGGTATGGGTATGCACCAAACAGGATATGTTTCAGAGAGAAAACAAGAAAGAAGAAATTCTACTCTTATTTAGTAAGTTCTGAGTTCTGATCACACTAGCCAAGCGAGCCCTAAAAGCAAAACCAAACCTGGACCGTATTTGCTTTGGCCAGATGTACCTTCCAAAGGGGTGGGGCTTTTACGAAAAGTTTAAAGCAGCTTGATCTCTGTGTGTGTGCCAACCAGCCCTGTTCCAGCAGAGATGGCATACAAAAGACCCTGTAAAAATGCATGCACAAGTGATTTTCTCACAATTAGGTCATCCAGCTTGGGAATCTGCAACATTTACCGCCAGCAACTTTCACTTACTTTAACATACATATATGCACCATTGGCTCCGTAACAGTTTTTGCTTCCTCCTCTCTGTCCATGAAAACCTTGATAGAAGGGGAGGATTGAAGAAAGTGATTTGATTTGTTGGTCAGCTGTAAAGCAAAATACACATATTTTAAATAAATTATTTTCATAGTGGAACAACCTATTGACTGTTTTTTCTCTTTACAGAAATATATATCCTATTCACTGCCTCAACAATAAAATATCAAGGAACACTAACATTAATGTAACTTATGATAAAGTTTCCACATCTTTGTTTATCTGCTTATGTTTATTAACCATGCCTTTTATGAAGTGGTCGTTCAAAAATCTACATATCCGTTACAAAACACTCTGGAAAACGTTTGCCAGATTAGCAGATTTTGCAGCAAAGTGGTAGCAGAAGAAGATTTATCTAGTCCAAGAGTAAAAGGTAATGGGGTTTTAGCCTTAGCATAACAACGGCAGACCCCAGCAGCTAAACTGTCTGTGAATTACCGTGGCTCTCAAAATACTTCCTAGGTGACTCTCCTAAGTTTAACAGTGTCATTTACGTTGTCCCTGTAACCACAGCTCATCACAAAGCTTTTAAAGTAAAGACAGCTTACAGAGAAACACTTGAGATCTCTAACACTTTAATTTACCAGCTCCCAACACTCAAATGCTGGGTTGTTGAGTGAGTTTGTGTTTTTTTTTTGGCAGGGTGTGGGCGGCGATTTTTAAAGGATGAGACAGTATGAAACAAAACAGACTTAGTGAGTTCTTACCTTTGAAAATGACATGACCCCCATCACCCCCATTTCCACCATCAGGACCTCCGAATTGTTTTCTAGGTTCACTATGAAAAGAATGACCCCCTCCTCCTCCTTGTCCTCCAATCACACGAACTTTCCGATGATCCACAAAATAGTGCGTCTGCAATAGAGACGGATTTTGCACCAGTTCAGTGCAATTTATCAGCCATCTTCCAACAAGCTGATAGTTCTGCAGAACTTAGTAACATGCAGATCTGCTATTTTTAGTCATGTTGAGTTCCAATTAACAGGGAAAAATCTCTGAATGACAGCAGTCAGACTTTTGATCAACTAAATAAAGCTTATTAAGTATAACATTAAAGAAAAGTAGATTTCATTTTTCAATTATTCTTAAGAATTCCTTAAAATACTGAAAATATATGCCTGCTATAATCTAAAGTAGCAGCTCAGATACCAGAAGTGCAAAATTCACAGTAATAGAGCTAATAACAGGGAAAGTATCTTTTCCATACGGTGATATAACGCTGATAGGTAGCTTGAGAGAGCTACCACAGCACAAATCAAAATCACGCCATAATTGTGTCCTCACCCATGAAAACAACAAAAAACCCCTTGAAATGAATTATTTTTCAAACAGCTTAGGAAAAAAAAAAGTTAAATATATACACATACATACACGCACACAGTTCTTGGGAGTGAACAGAAATCTAAAGAGGGCAGAGTGTTTGTGGGGAGGAAAGTCCTCACAATAACTCCCTGCTTTGCATACCAGATGATTAAATCAATGCATGCTTCAGTCTTAAAAGAATTAAGAGTAGTAGTAAAAATAAAGAACAGAAATTATTTGCAAAGATAATAAGCAGAGGAATACTTCATATATGATAATCAGTTGCGCAGGGGTAAAGATGATATAGCGTAAAGAAATTCCTGGATCTCAGCCCTGGGAAGTGCTTTGAAATCCCCAAGGGAAATATTACAGAAGCACGTTCATACACGTGGACAAGACTGTTTACACGACAGGACAATAAGAGAAAGGGCGAGTGTGCACGCAGAAGCATTCAAATTCCATAACTTGCAAAGGGACTTCATCATGAGATTGAACAATATGTTTTTTTAATAACGTAGCCTGAATAGTACGTGTAGGTGAGAAACATTATGTATCACGATATTCAGCTGAAAAGAAATATAATTCCTGAATAATTAAGGCTACATATCACCCATGACTCTTAAAAAGCCCTTCTTGGAAAAACATTTAGCACCACCATATGGTAAGACAGTAACTATTGATCAATGAATGATTTGCTGTTTAAAGCACGAGAAAATAATAATTCACCTAAAAGCGTTAAATTGAAAAAGAACAACGTGAACAAGTTGTAAGACTCTGCACTTTCTCAGACATAACACGTAGTCAGCCTGGCAACCATGGAAGCCAAAAAAAAGTGAGAAGCAAAACAATATTTTAATTTTAAAGCTACATCAGACTTGTTTCCGCTAAGTATGTATGCTGTCAGTCCAAGAGTTACTACGGCTACCACAGTCTTGGCTAAAGAAATTTTTTGCCCCCCAGCCACTCTGAACACCGATACTGCCTTACGAGAAACTTCTTTCCTCACTATTCAGAAAGTTAATAAAAATCCAGAAAATATTTTTTCCCACATCAAAAGCGTATCTTTTATAACAGAAAAGGCAACGAGCGTATAACCGCGCCTCGGACACGGGGCACCAGGTGACCTCCCAGCAAGGCACCGCTACTGTGAACGGGCACCGTGGGTTTCCCTCAGGACCTACCAGCTTCCTTTCTGACAGGGCTCTCTTCTGCCTGAGCCGCCTGCTCTTCGAGCACGTCACCCAGGTTGTGGAGAAGGGCGGC